CGGTGTGTGCCCGCGCCATCACCTGCAGGCGGTAGACGGGGCCTGTCACTGCGAGTCCTGAAGTCAGGAGCCTCTGGAATTCCACATGGATACAGCTTCAGCTCTGCCACAACTATTTTGGCTCTAACAAAACAGAGCCGGTCCTCGTCACTCCTGGGCTCCATAGCTGTGAATCTGCCGAGCTGCTCCAACTCACCTGCAGCCCCCAAGCCAATACTGTTTCGTGGCCACGTGGACAGGGCGGTGGTGGCCAAACGGGCTCCGGCCGCCTCAGCTCCCCGCCAAGGCGCGTCCTCTGCGTGACGCGCGGCCAAGCCTCCTGCCTTTCTGTGACGGGCTGGGGCGCTCACTGCTACAACGCTCCCAGGAGAGGGGCTCAGGCGCCACGCGGAGTCCGGGCGCAACAGGCCCGCCACGCGCCACAGAGAGAGAATGCCTGCCAGGCGCCGGCGCTGGGCCTCGAACGCGACACGCCTCTCCCCAGAGGTAAAGCCAAGTGCCTACACGGAAACGCACGTGCTGCCTGCCGGATGGGAACTCCGTGGCCTCGGCCACGGGCGCCCGCCCCGTCACACCCGGGCCGTGGGTCGGCAGCCACTGACTCTGGGCCCACGCCCAGAGGACCACAGCTACCACCGACCGGGAGGCCGGGCCGAACGGCACAGGTGACGACGCTGGGCGTGAGCAGCGGCAGCGCCCGCCTGCGCGTGTCGTCCACTCGTGTCCTTCACGGCGGCCGTGGCTGACCACCACGCCCAGTGACGCCCGTCTGAGCCGCTGCAGTTAGGGGTGTCTGTCCGGGTGGTTCTGTGTGATTCCCACGCCGAGACCCAGTCCAGGTACACGCCCAACCCAATGAATAAACCAATCGTCTGGTGTCATTGTTGAAATGTAAGCAGCAATTCGAAACTTTAAAGGGAAAGGCAAGCTTGTTCTTTACAATAAATGCACATTTTGTAGCAAAAACAAACACCACAAAAAAGTGCAGACTTAGGACTAAGTGGAGAGAGAAGTTGTTCTTCAGAGGCCTGGAGCGGGCCAGGCTGCGGGCCAGCGTCACAGCGAGCCCAACCCAAGGCCAGGCGCGGGGCTGTCGCTGCGAGCCTGGCCGGGCGGAGGCGCGCCAGCGAGACCTGGGGGGCCGAGCCCCAGCCTGCGCCCCGGAAGGCCCCCGGCTCCGGGGCAGGCACCCAGGCTGCAGGCCTGCCGCACTGGCCGCTGCGAGGCACGGGCCAGAAAGAAGACGCGTTCCTTCTCACCAGCAGGGAGGAAAGGCGCTAAGACCCTCACATCCACTCCTACGGTAACAGACACATCACACAAGAATTCCAGACAAAGAGGCGGGATTCCGGAATTAATGCTCGCTGCTGCTCTGAGCAAAAACTGAACAGTAAACAATAAAGATTTCAAAATTAAAACAAAAGAGCCACTTCAGTATTCTAATTTAACCTTCAAAAAAAGAAGATCTAAGTCTCCACGAGCTGAGAATTCCGTTCCACCCCGACACCGTCCTCCTCAGGAGCCAAGCAAACGGCTGCCACGCAACTGCACGCCTGCTCCAACACCACCAGCGGCTCCAGCAGGACCTGCTGGAAGAGGCAGCGGCCCCCCCGGGCGGGCCCCTGCTTGGGCAGCGGGGCTCCAACCAGCTCCCGGTGCAGCACAGGCCTGTTCAGGACACAGCAGCCCACCGGGAAGGCGCGCGACCATCTAGAAAGGTTTTCTGGGAAGAACAAGGTGCAGCTTCTCCCTGGGTCTCCAAGGTCCTTTCGGATGAAGTCCTCGGCCTCAGGCTCCCGTGTCAGTCTCCACCCTGGCCACCTCTCAGCCTCCATGTTCTTATGTAACATTTACATAGTGCATCAACATAACCAGAGCTGCATAAGAATTCAAACACTGCCAAACCAATAAAGCCTAAGCAGGCCACTCCCTCCAGACTGCCGCGGTCAGCACAGGTATGCTGTCCAGCCACCGTGCTGTCCAGCCGGGACAAGGGCCTGTCAAAGTCAGGAACTAACTGGGGAATCTGAACGTGGCCTGCAGAGTGAGACGAGGAGCAGCAAGCTGCAGGCCGAGGCGTGCTGCCTCTATCAACCCCGAGAGCACGCTATTCTGCCCCAACGATAAAAAGTAACCCACATCACTGGAGTCAGAAACTGCATCTAAAAATACCCCCAGCCAACTGGCTATCAGCAAGTCGGTCTTGCGAATGTCCCGGTAAGAGCAACAGAGACTGCTTTCTTACTTCACAGAGGGAACACCAGAGAGTCACAGAAAGGTTAAGTGATTTGTTCAAGGACAGCCTGTAAGGGAGCGAGATTCTGGGACGAAAAACCAGCTTCTCCCTCTATCTGGCTCTAACCTTTCACCAGAGTAGCTGTTTTATTGTTTTAATCACATTTGTTCCAGGAGCCCTTTTAACAAAACTAACCAGAGATTCTCTCTCTCTCTCTAAAAGAGTTCCCTTTCACTGAACTTCAAATCCATGCCCACGCAATGAAACTGTAAGACTTGGCCTAAAATTTGATTTTTGGTCTGTTCACAAAGATTCAAAACGTCCCTGTCTGAACCTCAGCTGTCTTCCTTGTTGCTTTTGTCGTAAGAAATAAATGAATGTCACGTTCTGACACCGACCGCACACTTTGAAACACTGCGCGAGCGCCGGAGCTGGGCCTAAAGCACGACACCCCCGAGCGTGGGCGCTGTCCACAGGCGGCGCTGGTCCTCGCCACGGGCTCTCCCTAGGGCGCAGTTAATTCACTGACAAACACCCACCCCGCTGCCCTCCTGCCATGTCCCAGAACAGGCATGGGGCAGTCAGGCCTGCCTCTCCCCAGCCCCCCTGTGGGACAGCCCAGGAAATGCAGGGGAAAGCAAGCACCTCTCGTTATCCACAGCCTCTATTTTTCCCAGAACTGACGTTTGACTTCAAGTCTTTTGCAACAGTGGTCTCTGTAGCATGCACTACTGGCAGCTGGACGTGTCCCGGAAAAAACCGTGCTGTCTGGCCAAAAAGTTTAAAGACCTTCGAGAATGTTTGCTGGACACACAGCCTAATTTCTAATTCACCAAAAAAAGAAACTCCCTCCCTCTGATGCCCATCCTTACCCCTGCAAACATCCATTTTAGGAAGGTTACAAAAAGTGAACTGTAGCCCATTCAGAACAAGGTAGATATCAATGAAACCATCTTGACTTGACGCACAAGAAAATCCCCACAGACACTACACCAAATCAACAGGAAAATGGCTGTTAAAAATCTTGCACAGAGGAGGGACGGTAAAAATTCCTATGGAATTTCAAGATTTCACCCTTTTCCTTATTTAAACCTTACTAGAACTATAACATTGTTGTGTATGCCCACGACAAGACCCCAAACAAGGTCCAACTACCAGCCTTCCCCAGAACCATACCCTTACCACAGGTGTCCGGCTGTGCCACACACCTGCCGTCTCGGCCCGACCCTGCCACAGCACACGGGGCCGGGCGGGGAGCTCCAGGAGCCGCAGCCAGGGAACAAAGACCCCACGGCACCGGCTCCACAAATAAGCTCCACAAACATCAAAGCCGCAGATAACGAACTTGTTGAGGCTCCAAAGTGGGATGAAGTCTTTTCTGGATTGTCTGGTTTTTCAAGGCAGCCTGCGCCCACCTGAGACGCATTATTTTTAGTGAAGAGGGGAGCCACAGAAGACACACACTTGATCCCCACTGCTGGAAGGTGAGGGGCTGCTGAGGAGTCAAAGCAGCAGGCTCTGCACAGCAGGAGTGAATACAATCCTGGTCCTCTCCCAGGCCCATCTGTGGGTCAATACTCACTTCAATATAACTGCCAAATATAACCTTCATCTGCTACCCCCACGAGGCACACTTGAGAGGACTCGCTGAAATTGGAAATTTCAGGGTTTCATCTACTCAGCCCCCAAAGTCTCATAAACACCCCAGATGGTGTCCCACGGAAAGGTACCCACCTCTGTAGTAAGGGTGGAATGGGGAGCGCACGAGGCTATGGGGGTCGGGTGATAAGAGGTTGGGGGGAGGGGGCGTGGGGGAAGGGCCGGGAAGAGGGACTGTGTGGGAAGGTAAATAAGTACAGACCGAGGGCCAGGGGACAGTCCAAGGGTGGGATCTTTAAATAATCCTGGGGGTTGGAAGCAGGTTCTAGAATTTCACCTGAAAGGCATCCACAAAGTGATTAAGTGAATGGGCCCCCTGGGGTGGCTGGGGGAGGCCAGGAGGAAAGCAAATACACCTAGATGCAGATTAACCGTTCCGGAGCTAGGGTTCCCGGGTTAGGGCGCCTGGAGGCCCAGCTCCCGAGAGGCTGGGGGGCCTGCGGGCCCCACTTCCTCCAACAGCTTCCAGGGGGCTCGTGGGCCGGGGGAGGGGGCTTTGCCCACGCAACTCGGAGGACCGAGCGAAGGGGAAATGTGACTCCCTTTCCCCGAGCATTAGGGCGCGGGCAGGAGACGGAGGGTTAGCGACACCCCAAGCGCCGGCTCTGAAGGACAGGTTAGAGACCCCTTCTCCTATCATCTCAGGTGCGCAGGGGCTCTCGAGATCAGACACCCCGGAGAGGCAGGGACCCCACCGCCGAGTGCCACAATGCCGGCGGGAGGAGAGGTGGCCCCGCGACCGTCTGCAGCGAGGGAACGAAGACCTCCGCCCCGGACCTGCCGAGGGCCCGGGACCACGGCTCTCCAGATACTGGGGCGGGAGCCCACTCTCCTCCACGGAACATGGGGGCGCCGGGAGCTCCCCGCAGCCGGTTCCGCTCGGAAAGGGGCTCAGGTCCCCGGGGGCCCGGCGAGAGCGCGCCGCCTCCAGACGGCCGCGCCTCGGAGGTCCCGGGAAGCCGACCGAGGGTCACCCCGCTCCTCCGCGCCCCCCGCCCGGCCATATTGTGCGTGTGGGGAGGGGGCGCGCGGCAGCCCGGCACCGCGGCGCGAGGCCTCACCCTAGCCTGGCCGTCGCCATCCCGCCCCCCGCCTCGGGACTCACCCTGGATCCCCCGGGGCCCGGACCAGCCGCTGCCAGCGAGCAGGAGGACAACAAGGGGGAAGAAGGAGGAGGCTCCGGCCGACTCCGCCATAGTAACCGCCGCCGCCGCCGCCGCCGCCGCCGCCGCAGCCCAGCAGCG